GGAGAGCGGCCATGGCGACGGGAGGCTGAGGGGCAGCGCCGCTGAGAAGAGGATGGGGGCCCCCCATGATGACCGGAGGCTGAGGGGCGGCGCCGCTGAGAAGAGGCGGTGGAGGAGCCGCCATGGCGACGGGAGGCTGAGGGGCGGCGCCGCTGAGGAGAGGTGGGGGCGCGGCGCCGCTGTGGGGAGGCGGGGGGCCCGCCATGATGACCGGAGGCTGAGGGGCGGCGCCGCTGAGGAGAGGTGGGGGCGCGGCGCCGCTGTGGGGAGGCGGGGGGCCCGCCATGATGACCGGAGGCTGAGGGGCGGCGCCGCTGAGGAGAGGTGGGGGCGCGGCGCCGCTGTGGGGAGGCGGGGGGCCCGCCATGATGACCGGAGGCTGAGGGGCGGCGCCGCTGAGGAGAGGTGGGGGCGCGGCGCCGCTGTGGGGAGGCGGGGGGCCCGCCATGATGACCGGAGGCTGAGGGGCGGCGCCGCTGAGGAGAGGTGGGGGCGCGGCGCCGCTGTGGGGAGGCGGGGGGCCCGCCATGATGACCGGAGGCTGAGGGGCGGCGCCGCTGAGGAGAGGTGGGGGCGCGGCGCCGCTGTGGGGAGGCGGGGGGCCCGCCATGATGACCGGAGGCTGAGGGGCGGCGCCGCTGAGGAGAGGTGGGGGCGCGGCGCCGCTGTGGGGAGGCGGGGGGCCCGCCATGATGACCGGAGGCTGAGGGGCGGCGCCGCTGAGGAGAGGTGGGGGCGCGGCGCCGCTGTGGGGAGGCGGGGGGCCCGCCATGATGACCGGAGGCTGAGGGGCGGCGCCGCTGAGGAGAGGTGGGGGCGCGGCGCCGCTGTGGGGAGGCGGGGGGCCCGCCATGATGACCGGAGGCTGAGGGGCGGCGCCGCTGAGGAGAGGTGGGGGCGCGGCGCCGCTGTGGGGAGGCGGGGGGCCCGCCATGATGACCGGAGGCTGAGGGGCGGCGCCGCTGAGGAGAGGTGGGGGCGCGGCGCCGCTGTGGGGAGGCGGGGGGCCCGCCATGATGACCGGAGGCTGAGGGGCGGCGCCGCTGAGGAGAGGTGGGGGCGCGGCGCCGCTGTGGGGAGGCGGGGGGCCCGCCATGATGACCGGAGGCTGAGGGGCGGCGCCGCTGAGGAGAGGTGGGGGCGCGGCGCCGCTGTGGGGAGGCGGGGGGCCCGCCATGATGACCGGAGGCTGAGGGGCGGCGCCGCTGAGGAGAGGTGGGGGCGCGGCGCCGCTGTGGGGAGGCGGGGGGCCCGCCATGATGACCGGAGGCTGAGGGGCGGCGCCGCTGAGGAGAGGTGGGGGCGCGGCGCCGCTGTGGGGAGGCGGGGGGCCCGCCATGATGACCGGAGGCTGAGGGGCGGCGCCGCTGAGGAGAGGTGGGGGCGCGGCGCCGCTGTGGGGAGGCGGGGGGCCCGCCATGATGACCGGAGGCTGAGGGGCGGCGCCGCTGAGGAGAGGTGGGGGCGCGGCGCCGCTGTGGGGAGGCGGGGGGCCCGCCATGATGACCGGAGGCTGAGGGGCGGCGCCGCTGAGGAGAGGTGGGGGCGCGGCGCCGCTGTGGGGAGGCGGGGGGCCCGCCATGATGACCGGAGGCTGAGGGGCGGCGCCGCTGAGGAGAGGTGGGGGCGCGGCGCCGCTGTGGGGAGGCGGGGGGCCCGCCATGATGACCGGAGGCTGAGGGGCGGCGCCGCTGAGGAGAGGTGGGGGCGCGGCGCCGCTGTGGGGAGGCGGGGGGCCCGCCATGATGACCGGAGGCTGAGGGGCGGCGCCGCTGAGGAGAGGTGGGGGCGCGGCGCCGCTGTGGGGAGGCGGGGGGCCCGCCATGATGACCGGAGGCTGAGGGGCGGCGCCGCTGAGGAGAGGTGGGGGCGCGGCGCCGCTGTGGGGAGGCGGGGGGCCCGCCATGATGACCGGAGGCTGAGGGGCGGCGCCGCTGAGGAGAGGTGGGGGCGCGGCGCCGCTGTGGGGAGGCGGGGGGCCCGCCATGATGACCGGAGGCTGAGGGGCGGCGCCGCTGAGGAGAGGTGGGGGCGCGGCGCCGCTGTGGGGAGGCGGGGGGCCCGCCATGATGACCGGAGGCTGAGGGGCGGCGCCGCTGAGGAGAGGTGGGGGCGCGGCGCCGCTGTGGGGAGGCGGGGGGCCCGCCATGATGACCGGAGGCTGAGGGGCGGCGCCGCTGAGGAGAGGTGGGGGCGCGGCGCCGCTGTGGGGAGGCGGGGGGCCCGCCATGATGACCGGAGGCTGAGGGGCGGCGCCGCTGAGAAGAGGCGGTGGAGGAGCCGCCATGGCGACGGGAGGCTGAGGGGCGGCGCCGCTGAGGGGAAGCGGTGGCGATGCGGCGGCGGCGCCGCTGAGGGGAGCTGGGGGACCTGCCGTGATGACGGGAAGCTGAGGGGCGGCTCCGCTGAGGGGCGGTGACGGCGGAGGGGCGGCGGTCTCTCCGCCCCTTGGAGAGCTCGGGACGGCGGGGAGCTCTTCGTCGGGTGTTGTCCATGACCTGCTGGAGTTGATGGGATCGAGCCGGGAGCGAGGCAGGAGCGCATCGGGGTGTCCTTGCTGACTCTGACGCGCTGGAGCCGCCGGTGACCGCGGCCTCCTGCCCGCGACCGCCCCGTGCGCTTCGGTCCAGTTACCATCAGTAAAATAAATGGACTCCTCCTCGGCTTCCCACTGCCCGCCGGTAAACAACCGGCTTTGCTGGCTTTCGGGAGTGATGTGGGCCTGGCACAGGGTGCCCAGAGCAGCTGTGGCCGCCCCTGGATCCCTGGCAGTGTCCAAAGCCAGGTTGGACTTTGGGGCTCGGAGCAACCCGGGATAGTGGAAGGAGTCCCAGATCATGGCACGGGGTGGAACTGGATGGGCTTTAAGGTCCCTTCCCACCCAAACCATTCCGTGATTATTTTGTGGCTCATTCAGGCCAGGTGAGATGCAGAAAATAAAAGTTACTACTTTACATTTCTCCTGCCTGTTGTTGAAATGTGGAAGGGTTCGGTCCCAATACCACAGGAGGAACAAAACCCAACAGCATCAACACAAATTTCAGCTCCTGGTTACAGAATTCAGATGGTAACATTGTAAAACCTTAATAAAAATGTAGAAGCATTTCATTTAAAAATCCCCTATAAAAGCTATTGATAAGGTATTGTTTATTCATAAGGAATTATTATAGTAAAATATAAAAGCTGGTAACTACTGGAGAACTTGTCTGGTGTTTACAGCCTAAGTGCTCTTTTTGGTACAGCTCAGCGTAATAGTTATAAATAAACATCGAAATACATATATTAACATATATAATGAACATTAGAATAATTTATCGGTGTAAATAGTCACCTGCAGTGATTATTTCAGCCACTTCTGAGACAACGACTCCTCTCTTACCCGATCTTCTTCACGGGCTTTCCAAATTTAGTGCCAACACTGACTGGAGCACTAACGCAGCACGATGAAGATAACGCGCATAGGGAATATCGGCGATTCCTGCGGACACCGGGATTTAAACTTCCGGCGATTCCAGCTCGTTTTGTCAGGCTTCGGGCACCGCTCACCCGGCAGCCGGCGGAGCGCTTTGAGCGGCGCACCCGGAAGTGGCGGAGCGCTTTGAGCGGCGCACCCGGAAGTGGCGGAGCGCTTTGAGCGGCGCACCCGGAAGTGGCGGGAGGTTCGGCTCGAGCATCGTCGTGATGGCGGCGGCGGCGCCGCTGCGCGTGTGAGTGGGACGGGACGGGACGCGACGCGGGATGGGGGCAGGGCCTGCTGAGGTTGCGGCGGGGCTGGAGCCGGAGCAGACCGGACGGTGCTGTGCCGGCCGCTCTGACCGCGCGGTGTCCCGTAGGCTGGCGTGTGGCGACGTGGAGGGTCGGCTGGAGGCGATCTTCGGGCGGGTCCGCGCCATCCAGGCCAAGAGCGGCCGCTTCGACGTAAGGCTTGTGGGGCTTGTGGGGGAGGTGGACGTGGTGCCCTTCCCGCAGGGTTCCCATTCCCGTCCCGAGACGGCCGAGGTGGGGTTCCTGTGTGGGAGCTGTGCCGGCGGTGCTCGGTGGGTGTAAGGAATATCTTCACTTCAGTAAACCAAATGCTGCTGAAGTGGTGCAAGCAAAGCCCTCGTATGTGTTTTGTGAAATGGCAACCCCCGCTTTATCCGGTGTTTTTAGATGCTTCTGTGTGTCGGGAATTTCTTTGGCTCTACTTCCGAGGCAGAATGGGCCGAGTACCGCTCAGGGGCCAAGAAAGGTAAGGAAGGAGGCTGGCACCGCTTCACAGCCCACCTTGGAATTCAGGAGCCACGGCTGGGCACTGTGGAGTTTAAAGCAATTATAGTCCAGCAGGGAAACCCCACACAGGAGGGAAAGATGGGTTGGTTTGGAACACCCTTGGCTTTAGGGCTGTGCATCATTTTGGGGCTAATCTTACACAATTAGGGGAGGGCAATTGGGTGGAGTGGAGGTTGTTCCCCACCTGCAGCTCTGGGATCACCAGGCTGGGGACTCACTCTGCAGGAAGGTTTCTTGTCCTGTGCTTGTTGCTCCCGAAGTGTGGTGGAGGGTCTGACTGGGATGGGATTTCCTGCTGTGATTCCTGGGCAATGTGGGCTGGTGCATTGGAATTAAAGCTCACTGAGTTCATGAGGTTTTCTCCCACAGCTCCAATCCCAACCTACGTGCTTGGTGCTAACAACCAGGACACCCTGAGCTATTTCCCGGATGTCAGCGGCTGTGAGTTAGCTGAGAACATCACTTACCTGGGTAAGGCTGCAGGGGATTTGGGGTCAGGGAGCTGCCTTTGCCTGCTGGGGCTTTCATGAACGTTCTCTCATCTCCCACCTTTCTTTTTCTGGGAGTTGTAAGCGGCATTTTTTTATCCAGTGGTTCAGACTGGAGTTGAATTTGATGTTGGTACAATCTCTGTAAAATGTGAAAGAAAACCTTGCTTTTGTGATTTGTTTGGGGTTTTTTTTTTCATTTCTCTGATACTGAACTTGCTAACCAGAAGGAATAGAGGTTAGAAGAGGCTGTTCCTTGAGGGAATCTTACTCCCAGAGCATTCCTGTCTCTGTAGGAGAATGTTTCGATATGATTTTGCTGTGTGGCTGTTCTAGAGTAGCAGAGGTAACAAGTGAAGTGCAGCAAAGCTAAAAGGAAAAACCAGTTTCTCTCCAGAATTGCCTCCAGGCCAAAAATATAACAAAGTAGAGGTACTTGGCTTTTTTTGCTGAGACTTCATATTGCTGTGGATGAGTTTTTGGGAAACAAGGTGTCAGGGAGGAGGGGGAAGACTGGGGCTTGTTTGAATAGCTCTGTTGTGGGCAGGGTTGGGTTTGGGCTGTGCCACCGAGCGATGCCATTACTCTGGGCACAGAAAATGACTGCCTGTGAGGACAGCTGCAGCGGCAACAAGTCTGCTGCTGCCCTGTCCCAGGGGATTCCCTGCCCTGCCTGCAGCTCAGGGCTGTGTGTGTTGCTGCAGGCCGCAGGGGCGTGTACAGCGGCTGCTCGGGGCTGCAGATCGCGTACCTGAGCGGCACCGAGGCGCAGCAGCAGCCGGCGCCCGCCCACAGCTTCAGCGCCAAGGACGTGGCCGAGCTGAAAACGTCTCTGCTGTCAACCCCAAACTTCAGGGGTGTGGATATCTTGCTGACATCCCCCTGGCCCAGAGAGGTGGGGACTTTCGCCAACAGCGCGGTGAGTGTTCAGTTCTGGGGGATTTCACAAAGGGTTGCCTTTCTCCTTCCTTTGGCAGTTCACCCTCTCTGAGTGCTTGACAAAGCTGGCAGGGAAAGCAGATGCTCTGGTTCTTCTCAGAGAAGGAAGGACTGAAGGGAGGGGAATTTGTGAGACTTCAGGGCATTTTATCTCTCCCTGGTGCTTTTTGAGTGTTTTGGTGTTTATTTCCTTAAGCATCAGCCAGGTGGTCTGGTTCTTCCTCAGTCTGGATTTTGAGGGCGTTGTTTCATTTGTGTCCAGTTTTGTTGTGTTGATGTTCCTCAGCAGAAGTGATTTTCAGATGATTTGAAATCTATCTGGACAGCAAGGCCACGCACATGTGGCAAAAGAACTTTTTTTGCTTCCTCTCAGTTTCTTCCAACATCCAGAAAGAGATACAATCCTCAGTTTAAATGCATGAGAAACCTTCCCTCACATCATAATAACCAACCCTGCTGCCCTTGGAGGTTGTAGAGAAACAATTTGTTGGGATGTTCTGGCATAAAAAGAAAACTCAGATGTCAGAAATTCCCTTGGCCATTCTCTGTAGTTGTTTAATATGTCATTCTATGTTGGACTTCCCTTGGCATGAATTTTCTGGAAGTGTACTCACTTGGGGTTACAGAGAAGTATATTAAACCTTTCTTTTCCCTGCTCTTTGAGAGGTGTGAATAAAGCTTGGTTTGTGTTTTGTAGGGAGAAATAGATACCAAGAAGTGTGGCTCAAAGTTAGTATCAGAGCTAGCTGCAAGTCTCAAACCAAGGTACCATTTTGCTGCCCTGGAGAAGGCCTATTACGAAAGACTTCCTTACAGGTTTGTAAAATCATGTGAAATCTCACTTCTTTTCAAGTAGGGGTTCAGTTTTTAAGGAACACAGGAGGATTGATGTGCTGTCTGTGTATCTTCATGGCAGACAAGAGTTCTCCCACTGTCCTTTCAGTACTTTATGTGCCAGTACAGCCAAGTTTTGCTTCCTTACAGGAATCACGTGGTGCTACAGGAGACTCCACAGCACGTGACCAGGTTTATTGCACTTGCTGATGTTGGCAATACAAGCAAGAAAAAGGTACTGAATACCCTTGAATCTTTCTTCTTTTCTCAAGTACAATAAAAGGGCAGTGAGACCAGTTAGATGACAACATCAGGCACTTAAAAGCTTGGCTGGAGTGGAGGGATCTGTCTCACTTGAGTAAGAGGTACCACTTGTCTTTTTTGTGAGAGGGGTATGGGCTGCACATTGTGTTCTGAGGCACAAACCACTAAAAACAACAAACTTCTGCTAGGAGGTTTTTAACCCATTTCTCTTCTCTCCTTAAGAAAGTTACAGAATATTGGTTGGTTGTTAAGGGATGCACAGGATCCAGGCCTGGTAACAAAAAAAGGCCAGAAAGAAGGCCTGGAAACAGGCAGGGATCAAGGATGCACTCCATAAACTCCTGTGTGGGACACTGACACAGGAGGTGTATTTCTCCATGCCCTGCCTTGGCACAAACACTGATGTGCTGAGCGGTGTGGAACTGTTCTGGCGTGTCTTAGTTCATAAGTGATCTCCTCAGAGGTGCAGCCATGGCAGGAGCTGCTTGCCCCTGAGCCCCTGTGTTTGTTGCAGTACCTCTATGCCTTCAGCATCGTGCCCATGAGCTCAATGGACCCCGCAGAGCTGGTGAAGCAGCCTCAGGATGTCACTGAAAATCCCTACCGGAAACTGAGGAAGGAGGCTCCCAAGAGCAAAGCCCCACTCTCTGCTGAGGTACCACCCTGTGCTCCTCCACATTCCTGGTTCACTCTCTGTGCTCACAACACTGCTTGGCTTTCCCTTTGGAAAGCTTGGCTTAAACTCTGCTGTAGAGACAGGCTGGGAGAGCTGGGGGTGTTCAGCCTGGAGAAGGTTCCAGGGAGATCTTATTATGGCCTTCCACTTCTTAAAGGAGAACTGTAAGAAAGATGGGGACAGAGTTTTTTCCCCTTCAGCATTAAAGCCTTTTAATGGCATTTGGCTGTATGGGGTAACTCAGTCAAATGTTTTCAACCTCTGGTGAGTCTGTGAGAGGTTAACATCTCTAAGAAATAAAGCCATTCTTTGGGCACTGGCTGGTAAGTGAAAATATCTGAATAATCCATAAAATCAGGCAATTCTGAATGTTCAGCATAAGGCTGAATAGGAGAGCACAATGATTTGGGGCAGCTCTCCCAGAAGTTTTTCCCTGACTGAAGCAGGCAAAGTCTGCTGCATTATTAGGAAAACAGGTAATTCTGTTCCAGGATATTCAGAAGGAATTTCTTCCTGGAAAGGGAGCTCAGGCCTTGGCAAGGGCCACCCAGGGAGGTTTGGAGTCCCCATGCCTGGAGGTGTCCAGGGAAGGGCTGGACGTGGCACTCAGTGCTCTGGGCTGGGGACAAGGTGGGGATGAGGCACAGCTTGGACTCCATGGGCTGGGAGGGATTTTCCAGCCTCAGAGATTCTGTGATATTGGTGCTTTTCAAAAGTGGTTCACAGCTCTTCAGGAAAAACCAAATTCTTGGATATCCTGTCACTTTCCATGGTACATTTCTAACTGAACATCCTGTTCACTTTTCATTTCCTAAACAGGAAGAACCAGCTTGTCAGTTTTTCTTTGACTTGAACAAGCATCAGGGAAAGAAACGTCCCTCAGAGGGGAAAGAGAGAGGGGACTCCCAACCTAAGCAAGCCAAGAAACCCCGTAAGTGTGAGGATGCTTTTTTCCTGAGCTCTTCCCTCGAGGCATTGGATGGACCACATCACTTCAAGCTGTTTGTCAAGCTGTTGAGCTGTAGGTGTCATCTAGCCAGAGAGCTGTCACTGCCAGCTGCTGGGGCAATGCAGGAGAATCAAGGGTCCCTTGTTTCCAAGGGAGGATAGGCTTCAGTAGGTGAAAGAAGGGTCAAGAGCATAGTTTCAAAGCCCTTTGGGTCTGTGGTTGTGGTTGGGCTGATGGCATTTACCCTCTGAA